GGAGCTTGGTGGTAACAAACTGGCGGGTGGCTTCATCAGTCAACTCCAAGATAGCCTTGGAGACGGACTTGATCTCGTGGGCCTTGCCACGAACTAGAAGGTCAGCAGACATGGCTGGGGATGGTGCTGGAAGGAGTGTTGAAGTGTCGTTGGTGGGACAATTCAATGACTCAATGAACTGTCGGCAACAATGCTTTTGGGAGCGGCAACAACAGTCAGGAACTGGATAAAGGCAGGACCTACAGCAAAAGCACCAGGCAAACAGAACTGGGGCTGGAGCTGGACAAAGCAAGGACTCACAACAACAGGACAGCAACTGGAAGGGAAGCAACAACTGGGAGGCAGGCAACTGGGAGGCAACAAGAGGCAGGATGCAGTGGTCCAAATCAGGGAAGGCTTGGTTGGAAGCTTTCAGGATTGGGATTATGACCTCATAGTGTTGCACTGCAGAGCCTGGAATGGGAGGAACCAAGGCCACCACCACAGTAGCCCAGGCTTGTACTGTTGCTGTAGGATTGCACAGGACTTGAACCCAATCCAAGGAACCAAAAGGCTACCAGCCAAGTAGCTTTTGAACTGGGGATCCATTGCAATGAGTCAACCTCAATCTCTGACACAGGTGCCTGGTCAGGTACCATGCTGTCAGGATATCAATGCAAGGGTGTGGTGTGGCTTGGTATTGTGTGGTGTAGCACTGAACAGTCAGTGGTAGTGTGTGGTGTAGCACTGAACAGTCAGTGGCGGTGACCAGACAAAAGTCTCGCGGCGCACCAAGTCATCGGTGGTTGGAAGACTTAAGGGGCGGGGGACAAAGACTTAGAGGGCAAAGTCAAAGACTTAGAGGCCCCAAGGTCCTTTTCAAGCATCGTCTTCGCGCAAAGACCTTTTCATGCATCGACTTAAAAAATTTTCGAAAGCACGGATGAAGCGGGGATGACGACCCAGTCACCAGTTCGAAGACATAAGGGACACCAATCTTGCCAAGAGAGCAAGACTTAGGCGGCAGTCCGGGGAAGACTTAGGGGCCGATCAGTCGAAGACTTAAGGGCCGATCTGGTGTTGTTGTTGAAAATCGCAAAAAATCGCGAAGATCGACCATGGCCCTAGAGTCGGGACGCACGGCAACAGCGGCAGCCAGGAGGAGAGGAAACACTCGAGGGCCAGTTGGCCGAGGAGGGGAGTCGAAGCACCAGTTCTTGGTGTCGCTCAAGAGAGGAGATGGAGGGTTGGTGGGAGCACCAGTCGGTGACTCGCCGTTGGGGCTGGCGATCACCAGGTGGTGAACGCATCATAGCAGTGGCTAGCAGAACACCAGGTGGTGAACGCATCATAGCAGTGGCTAGCAGAACACCAGGTGGTGAACGCATCATGGCCTGAGAGTTTCGTGTGGAAAAAGCACACGAAAGCCCCGTGTGGAAAAAGCACACGAATCGAGTGGAAAAAGCACTCGATCTCGACAAATAACAGAGCTCCTGCAACCGGACCAAAGGTCGATAGTAGCAGTAGTAGCAGTAGCGGTAGCGGAGCTGGTAACAGTGCAGTAGCCATAGTAGTAGCCGTTCGTTCGAACGGAAGAAAAAGAAAACGACGCCATTGTCCTCTTCGATCGATTGGTGGCTGCTAGCAATGTGGCTCTGGATTGGCTCCTACCGACTGACTGATCCCCTGAAAACCCTAACTCTATCTACGGTGACGTACCAGTCCAGGCAGGAGCAAGTGTGCTTCCACATTGCTCTGCTTAGAGTCATGGCGATAGTGGACAGGCGAACCCATCCATCTCCCAGGTATTTTTCTTGGTCCGCGTAGGTACAGTCGTACCATAAACATTCTTGGTCCGCGCTTAACCCAAGCAGCCTTTACCCAGCAGCAACGAGACACCACACAAAACAAACGAAGCGTTGACTGCAGACCTCTTTTGCACACAAAGATGAAGGTGTTTCTCTACGGCGTACTTGCCGTGAATCTGTTGGCGGTGACTTTTGTCCTTTTGGAATTGGGGGACCGGCTGCCAATTGTGAAAGCTTTGATATCCAACAAGAAAGAAACCACTGAGAAAGTGTCAGCACCTGTAGCTCCTGTAGCTCCTGCCATTGAGAATGTCACAGTATCCCCAGCAAACACCACAGCACCACCAACAGCATCACCCACCACAAAGCCCGAGCCATCCATTCGTGTTGAGAACATGCCAGCTTCGGCATCGCTCCCAAACATTGCTTTGACCGTTCGGTTGAACACTGACTTTCTCGACATTACCAGAGGCGTATTACTCAAGTCCTTCAGTGTGTTTTGGCCCAAGAAGACAGCATGGCCCCAGTCTTCGCTGGCTATGGTGTGGGATGAAGAACTCCCTCAGGATAAGCAAAACTCGCTCGAATTCCCTCAATACACACATGTTTTTGAAAAGCTCCCCCCCGATGGAACCCTGTGCTCTGCAATGAGGAGTGAGGGCTATGCTCGCCAGCAATGGTCCAACTTCATACAAGACACACTCTTCAAAGAGGAGGACGCCCCAGAGTTTCTTGGCTTCTTGGACGCCGACAGCTTCTTTGCAGCGGCTGTTCATCCTAGCGAATTGTTTGACTATGATGAGAAGAATCAGCGTTGGCGTCCTCGAGTCATCGGCTACAACAGTTGCTGTGTTGTGTGGGGAGCTGAAACGACCAAGCTGGCTCTGCAAGGGGGAGAAACTGTTGGCATGTTCATGGTTGTCATTGGGTTTCCAATTATTGTCAAGACAAAGCACCTAGCATACGTCCGAGATGTTGTGGCAAAGAACCTCGTTGGGGAAACAGGTTATGATGCCTTTAACAAGGCATTCAACAAGATCTGCAATACTAAGGGAGGGTATTCCCAGTTTGACATTATCATGAATGTTCTGTGGAACTCACCCTACAGGGATGAATACTCATGGACACTCCGAGATCAAAAGACCAGTCAACATCCGGCCTTCAAAGAAACTCTCTCCAGCAATCCAGAGGTTCTGGCGAAGGATGATTTCAATGCAGCTGTCCCGAAACTTGGTGTCATGAAGCATGGTCATGATCCTGCAATCAAGGCGAAAAAAGGTACTCCAGAGTTCAACAAAATCATTGGAAGAAAGATTCGTTCGGCAATGTGTCTGTACGCTGATGCTTGCTTGCATGATCCAGACAACTACTGCACCTCGCGTCGCGCAGAAGAGGCGAAGGCGACGGCTCTTTTCACTGACTGGATTGATGCTACAGAGATACCAGCACAACACTTCCAGAAATCTACAGAACTGCATAAGAAACGAATCATGGACAACGCATTTGCTTGGCCATGGCTGGAACCTTCTTGTGGGAAAGCAGATTCTACCACTATGACCTAACTAGCTAGCAAGCACGGCCACAAAGAGAATTCCTAACCTGTCTCTTCAACAAACAACAATCAAAACGTTTTACTTAATTTTTGTGTTATTCCCTTTTGCGAATGCAAGCCTTCTATTGGCGCTGGCCGGAAAAGAGCTCAGACCGGGTGAGGCATAGTGCGTCGTACTCGTATCTCACACGAGTTGCTGCTTCGAACCAACGCCACCGCGCGCGCCTCGAACAAACCCGATATTGCTTCCTGGAAACTAGAAACACTGCGTTACATGTAGCATTGCTCTGGAGCCTGTTGCGCTGTGCCCTCAAGCAAATCATTCCTCCGATAGCACTAAGTCCAAAGGGCTTGTTATCGCATACATTTGGCACCTACGCCAGATACGGTACCGGTACTTATTAATAGCGGTGACCTGCGTTTGCTATCAGGCCACCGGTACCACGCTACGACTGTTGCCCAGCTACTCGTAGCGGGCTAGCTAGCTAGAAACTTCCACTACGGAGTGCGGAGTGCGTGTGACGTAGACCTTATAATTCCTTTTCGACAATACGTGAGTGATGATTTTTCTTTTCCTACCAGTTCTACGTGATTCCTACGTGAATCGGTCCGATTTCGCCGCCGTGTAGAAATCCTACAAGCCGCTACAGAAATTTCCACCATGGTTCCTCTTTCCATTTGGTTGAACAAGTACATGTATCCTCCAGTACAGTCGTACAATCCTACATGTACTGGTACGTGATGCTGGTACTGAGGAATTTTTCCTTTTGACCTTGACCATGATGCTTGAGATGAGATGATACCTCGTCCAATACAGCATCTAATACAATTTTTCCCTGCTGGCTAGTGTTCGCTTTTCTGGCTGAAATTGTCATGTGACATCTATTTATTGTCACATGACATCACAAATCATTGGTAGTACCAGTTACTGTAGAAAGTGAACGGGAGAAGTGACCACAAAATGGGCATGTGGGACTGAATGAGAACATCATTCTATTTGTGATCCAATGTTAAAACATACCCCTCCGAATGCGAATTCGGCCTCCTTTCCTCTCTTTTGGCCAGAATCCCTATTATCTCAAAATCGATTCCGTGGATTTGTGTCTTTGGCTATGGTTTGAACTTATCCGTTAAATCCAGAACGGCCCTGATTTTATGTGCTCCATCTCAAGGATATATGGAAAGTCCATTCTGTACTAAGTATGTAGCGCTCTTGTAGAAGAAAGCCTCTAAACAAGGCTGTAAACGCTGTTGTCATGTGACAACTGAGTTGTCACCTGACAACCACAGGACCTCTGTGGAAACTCGAGTCGTGCAACCGATCGTCTCCTAAATCCTTTTGATCGTCTCCTATTTAACGGATTTTGTCTCCTAAAAATAGGAGACGAAACGGATCGTCTCTTAAATCTTTCGTCTCCTCTTAAATCGTCTCCTATTTTCAACGGATCGTCTCCTATTCTCAACGGATCGTCTCCTAAGTGCACCATGTAAACTGTATGGTATCGTCTCCTAAATCTTTCGGATCGTCTCCTATTTCGAAACGATCGTCTCCTAAATGAAATGTCTCCTAATGAATCGTCTCCTAAATATAGGAGACGATTGCTTTCGTCTCTTAAATCATTTCGATCGTATCCTAAGCCTTGGTGTATCGTCTCCTAAGTAATTTGCCGCGAATGACGTTTCCACAGAGGTCCAGTGGAGGGAACACTAGCAAGTTAGTAGTAGCAAGCAAGCTAGCTACTCCTTACCGGTACCGGTGACCGTATGGCCAGGCTATGGATTGAAGATTCGATTCCATTCCTCCTTGCGCGGCAGTCCCCCCTGTCGATGTTGAGTTGAGTTGAGTCGAGTCGAGTGTCGGCGTCCACCCGGAACACCACCTCTTGCGAGCTAGCTAGTGTCTACCTTCCCTCTCAAAAACGTTATGTAACCACCAAAAATGTTACGTAATGTCCGAAACAGGTTGGTGTACTACTGACCTGTAAAAAGCACGAGCCAAAGTAGAACAATTTCAAAAATCATGCATTACGTAACGTCAACGGCTACTTGTTGTACCAGTGAGCTGTAGTTTTGAACGGGAATTCTCGCTTTTCTATTTCTAAGAAGAAGAACAACAATCAAGTAAGTGAGACCAACGGCTACTTGATGATATAAGAATCAATCAGCGAGGCACGTACCATTCGAAAGACTCAACATCAGGCCAGGTTGATGTCGCCAACAAGTGCAAGTCGCTCATGGTTTGTTGGCATTCTTGGAGTTTGCGACGGGATACAGCTTACAATTCAGCTTTACAGCTTTATAAATTGCGGGCCTATTCTAGAAAATAATCAATAACTGCTCACTTATTTGGAAATACAAACTTTACATCTCTTAGATCTTTAGATTAATCAATCCACAATGGTATTGTCGCATGGTAGCATGCGAGGTTATGAGATGTTACTCATTCTTATTCTTATATGTCTATCCCTTATGGTTGTCAATGGAATGAGCTATCCCTTGGTGGGGAACAAGGGGATTGCTTCGAGCGAATCAACAAAAGAGGGATTGCTTGCGAGCGAATCCAAGGTATCGACAAAGGGATCATATGGATCCAATCGACAGATTAAGTTGCAATAAGGGGAAGGACTACCGATGAAGATAATGAGAGGAAACTCAGGACTCTGCA